GCTCGCTACGTCTTTCGTAATACGTACACCAACGTAATGAAACTATTTTCCGGCGTCTGTCTTTCCGTCCGATCATAACATGGATATCTTCAAAGCAAAAGTAAATAGAATTTTATAACGCTAAGATAGTGTAATTTGCCATGCAGGGTTTCATCGCCACTTACCACGAGGTGGGTTTGTAGAAAAGTAGCAGCTTATCCTTAAAACTACTTACATAATATGAATAAAATTGAAGAGTCTATTTGTAATATTGAAATAACTGACTTCTATTAAGCTCAAGGGGTTATTTGCATTATTTGCATGCTATTAATACATAAATAATAAAAATTTTGTATTTCTGTCTGTACGGGATAATATTTGGAATTGTTGAACCGACTTTACGAACAGACAGAGAGCAATATCAGAAGGAATCTAGGCTATATTTTTGGGAAACGTTTTTGTTTCGTAAAATTACAAATTGGTAACATAAATGGTTTTTGTATTGGTAATATATTATCAGATATTGATAATTCGTCTGTTAAGGCAAATAACCTGTAGATATCATTTATTGCTTGTCTAAAAAAAATTAATATTACGTAGACAAGCGGTACTTAATATGCGCGAACGATCGTTTTTATAAATACCATGGCTCCGACACATACACAACATTGTTAATGCGATTATCTGTATTTTACACAAAACACACACTGGCTGATAAACAAAAGCTTTAATATAACATATATTTTTACAACACAACAGCTGAATCCGCCACCCATCGGTGGGTTCTCATAAAGATAGATTTCTCTTACCGTGGCAGTGCAAAAGTAACACGTCTACTAATCATGCCATGCAGGTAACTACCGGGCTCTTACCTGAAAAAGAAATACATGAATATGTTAACTACGTTGTAAATGGAGTATAATTACAAATAACTGTTTTACGTAGTAGAGCCAAGCTGCAACTATATTATGGTTGTTGCACGAATGAGTCAGCTCGCCCGGGGAAAGAGCACGGTCTCAACGAACACCAGCGTGAAATAGCAGGTTAATGCTGCTGTGTTTCGTATGGTGAGTATAGAGAACTGGAGATCCTTTTTGCTGGTAACGAGGCATTCCATCCTATTCCTTACGGGTGACAACACGTCTGCATTTTGATTTTTAATCGAGGATAAATGTAGATGTCTATGGGTCACAGCATCCACTTACCATCAGGTGGACTGCGTGCCGGTTTTTCACCCCTATTTTATAAAAAACTTGACTCCTGTAAACCTCTATTTAAAAAACTTAATTTACTAACATTGACCTGCATGTATGTTCTTGAGGTGTCAGTCTTTGTAAGGAAGTATAATGGTTTTTTAAAATTAAAGGGGATCATGTTACTAAATACAGACCAAGAGATCGTACTAAAATAATGATTCCATCTTGTAGAACAGCTTTAAATAAACGGAATGTATATCATATGTGCATATCAGTTTTTAATAAACTGCCTAAGAATCTACGGGAACTTCCATTTAAATATTTTAAAATTAAGTTAAGAAAATGGCTAGTGGATAAGTGTTTTTATATGATACAAGAGTTCATGCAACATAAAAATAATGTATATGATTATTTATAAAATTAAATAAAATGTAATATAATAATAATATTAATAAATATGATAAATAATAACATAACTTGACTTTTTCGTAAGTAATTTAATTGTTTTATATAATGTAAATATTTGCATGCCTATTAAAGGCAGAATATAGCTTGAACTATGCACCACTGTTAAATCTGGTACCACCTGTATTCTATGCAAATAATGTTTCTTTCTTTTTTTCCAAAAAAAAGGAAAATTTACTGATTTAATACCAATATTGAATAGACATCTGTCAGATTAGGATTAGCACGATCTTGGACCATAGCACTTCTTATTCATCCGTAAAAGTCCACCACTGGACATGGACCTCTCCCGTTGTAGGTTTGCCTTAATCATCACGCTTTGTAGCCGGAACGACGTTCATAGTAGCAGACATCTTGCGTTTTGGCCTGTTTCTTCATCGTTGTTCTATTTTTTGTCTGGAGTAAACTATGCAGATCAGAGATATTCAGTCCCGAAGAAATACAACATCACACAAAAATATTAATTATTTCATTTTATTTAGGACCAATTTTTACTTACAAATTTATTATAATTATTAGGCAATGACTTCCATCATTACACAATGTTATTAATTTATTTTCTATTTTTATATAGTTAAATACTAATAATTTTTATAAGTATATGGGCTACATTCATCAGAAGCCTTTCTTGCATTTCCCACAGGCGCCTCTTACACCCTCGGGACGAGATGGGGTTATGGATTCTCTTACACCGTTTCCCCAAGGAATTCTCACCTGTTCGATTTTTTTATTTATACATGGTATAGCAAATCTGCAGCGTCCTTTATGGCTGCATCACCTAGTTTGGTAGGGAATGACCATAGAATTATTACGTGGGAATGCCGCTAGTACAAAATACAGCATATTGTTTTTTTTTTTTTTTTTTTTTTATAGGATAGGGTGACAAATGAGCACACAGCCCATCTGATGGTAATTGTTTGCTGTGACCCATTGACATCTACATCCTATCCTCAATAAAGAATCAAACTGCAGATGCGTTGTCACACCCGTAACGGGTCTCCGGTTCTCTACACTCACCATATGAAACACATCAGTGTTAAGCTGCAATTATACGCTGGTATTCTGTGAGAGCATGGTCCTTCCCCGGCCGAGCCGACCCATTCGTGCTACAACTATACTTCTAATATAGCTGCAGCATGGCTCTACCACGTAAAAAACTGTACCAGCCTATTGAAGTCCACTGCTGAACATAGGCCTTCCACATAGATTACCTCATAGGGGGAACATTTGCCATAGTTGCCACGCTTGGAAAGCAGGTTGGCAACCGTAGTTTTTTTATTTTTGTCGTTAGCAGGAAGACGCTGCTGCCCATCTCCTGACTGTTTCCCACTGTCGCCGCTTACGACATCCACGGGATGATATGGGGCGGTGGATACACCACTTGACGTCATATGCAGCATAATTGTGTTTTATTACATATGGTAAATAACCAAAACCGAAGAAACTTTAACAAGGCATTCCATGTTGCCCTTAAAGGTGACAACGTACATGTAATATAAAGATACATAATTATCCCGCACGGAACACGTATTTGCAATGACCTACAAATAATTATTGCAGGTCTGGATGTTTGTCCTTGTGAAATGTATGTATCTAAACCATACAGAAGAAAATCCTTATTTAAAAAAAAGAAAAAATATATTTGTCTTATTGGTTAATTTTAAAACGAATTTTACTGCCGCATCTCGCGAAGTAAAACTTTTGATAAAATTTTTCGAATGCAGTAACAAAATCTAGGTCGCTATACAAGTAAGAATCCTCTAGCGAGCGATGCGAACAACTCCATTTCATCTACAAATTCCAGACATTGTGTCCGTGAGGAAATATTTAAAATAGGGTGTAGTATCGCGTTAAACTTTCATATTTTCAATAACATGTTCGCTGCTGAAACTTTCAAAAAGTGTTTAACTTATAATACTTTATATTTTTATAATTAATATGATTTTATAAATTTTTCATCTTTCTTCTTTAGATTCCTAATCCAAGATGGATGTAAATGTCTATAGGTAACAGAATACACATACCATCAGGTGGACTTTGTTTGTCACCGTGATTCTATAAAAACCACAACTTTTTTTCATAAAACCGAGATTTTTAATTTGTTAATGTTATATTTTATCAAAAAATAAAAAATGAAGTGGTACGTTTCCCCATTTTATTTTTACACAACAACTGCAACAACCTTCACAAGTCCACTGCTGAACATAGGTCTCCCCCAAGGAATGCCAAAAACCACAATAATACAATACAAAAATGGCAAAATTTCTGTAGTTATTGAATATTTACGAGTAGGCGGCATTCTTACTCTAAATAGTAATACTTCAGACCATTTTTTTTTTAAATCATTAAAATATTTTGCGACACCTTTCATTTTACAGTACAATCTAATGTTTTTTGAAAGGCAAAAAATTCGCTAGATTTACTGTTAAGAAAAGAACATCGTTAAGCTAAACCGCGACACCCCGTAACTGGATAACGGGTTAACGGTAAACAAAACAGAAAATGTCAAACAGGAACCACACGTACTCGTACGTGTAAAGAAAGAAGTAAGGATAAAAGCTTTTGTGCTTGCTTTTAGAATTTCCTTTTATGTTATTTTATGTGCAAAGGACTTTGGCGTTCAATAAAAACATAGCCGAATAACACACTGCGTTCGGAAAAGCTTTAAGAAAATGGAACAATTATATTCATATTGAACGTGTAATGGTGATGTAAAAAAATATTCACTACTACAAATAGTCCCGTGGTTGTCGTTTGATGCAGCAGAGTGTAACATACAAGAATTATAATAACTAAAAAATAAAAAATAAACTGCAATTGCCAATCAGCCTGCCAAGCGTAGCAACTACGTAAAACACGCCTTTTATGAGGCATTCATTCATTGAGGCACGAATAGGCCCCTGTTCAGAATTGGACTTTGTATTTGATCACTACAACTCTTCAATACGAGTACAGTAATAAGTCCACTACTGAATACAGTCCCTCCCCAAACAATGCCACAAATCTGGTTTGTTTCTTATACTTAAACGTTCGCCATAGTTGTCAAACATGGCTGGCGGGTTGGCTACCGCAGTTTTTTAGTAAGTGTATGTTAAGTTTTTATCAGGAGGACGCAACATCCTCCTGATGTGTGTATGTGATGAGTGTGTGTACAGTAGCAGTATAGGTACTACGATAGGGTGTGGTGATGAATATTGAAAAATATTTTTTTATCACTCGTAATAGCCCACAGTCGGACATGGGCTCATAATGTACGCTTGATAGATCGTATTAGTATATTACGTAGGCAAAAACGAGAAGGCATACCATTATCTATCGGAAGACTTAAAGTTTCTCTGTAATTTTCTAAATTCTCCTAATATGAAGTCACCACCAAATGACAAACGCCGCCAGAATATTCAACCTATTTTTGGAATTCGTACGTAATAATTTCAAATTAAAAATGTTGTACAACCGACTTCAATATAAGTTATTAAGAATAACTCAAACACTTTTGGTCAGACCTTGATCAAATTTATATGGGATTACATGTGGACCACCAGCTTTGAAATAAAAAAAGAATCATCGAAATCGGTTCACCCAGTAAAAAGTTAAGAGGTAACACACATAAAAAAAGAACATACAGTCGAATTGAGTACCGTCTCCTTTTTGAAGTCGGTAGAAAATAAACCACGGAAACGTGTAAATAAAACCGATTTTTAAATGGCAAACAAAACACAGATTTAAAGAATGCCTGATACAATTCAAATCATCGATCGATACGAGAGATGAATAAATATTGTCAAGCCATCAACGAATTAACAGTCGTCCAATTGGATCGTGTTATGCATAAAAGATCCAACCCACAAAATTATAAACTTATTTAGATTTGGAAGGTAAATGCATTTTTCTTGTGGCAGAAGCTCTATTATATCATGTCATGTACTCTTATATCATTTTACAGGAAATTTAATGTAAATTTTCTAGTGTAGTGGCGGTGTAAGAATATCCACTACCCCATACCGTGGGTGTTGTAAGAGGCGACATGTGGAAACTGAAACTGGAGATGGGCAGCAGCATCTTCCCGATAACAACTCAAATAATAAAAACCTACGGTTGCCAATCCGGTTTCCGTTCGTTGCAAATCCAAAGGCGGATCGGCATCTGCAGGATCCTCTCCATGAGACAATCTATGGGAAAGGCCTATGTTGGCCTACGTCTGTAATGGATGGATAGATAAATGGATGGAATGTAAATTTTTGGATCCCTTGTTATTTTTCAGAAGTCTTTCATACTCGGAAATAAACTAAAAGGAGAGTCTCTGGATCATTTTTCGTCAGTGTGTGGGTTTTATCACTTTTGCATAACACGGTCCAATTAGGAAAATTAACCGACGATAAGAGATAAACGTTAAGCGACACGTAACAAGATATATTTCGGGCTACGTCAACAGTGAAACGAGAACGAAACACAATAAGACCACAGTCGCAATGTTCCGTAAACTGGATTTAATTAATAAGCAATTACGCAGTCTGTGGGCGATGGCGTTGCACCCAAGCAAATAATTGCTAATACTAAAAACTTAAAATCTATAAATGTTAAGTACAATAATACAACGTGCTCAGCGGTGAAGGGAAACATTAAGAGCATATCTGAGGAATTAACATATTTCGACCTTGTGATATTGCCTTAGTTTACTCAAAAGAGGAAAAAAAATAAAAGCCGATCTCGTAACTCAAAATGATAATTTCCAGATCTAGCATCTGAAGTTGGAGTTTTAATTCTTAGATACACTATGTCTGAACCTTACCTTAAGAAATTTACCTTCACTTTTTTTACGTGGTTTAGCCATGCTACAGCTATATTACTGGTATAGTTGTAGCACGAATGGGTCAGCTCGAAGTGGGATACCAGCGTGAAATAGCAACTTAACGCTGCTGTGTTTCGTATGCTGAGTGTAGAGAACCGGAGACCCTTTTTACTGGAAACGAGGCATGTCATCTTAGTCCTCACGGGTGACAACGCATCTACATTTTAATTCGTAATCGAGTATAGATGTAGGTGTATATGGGCCATAGCAACCACTTACCATCAGGTGGAATGTGTGATCGTTTATCACACTTATCCTATAAAAAAAACCTTACAAAACCTACGTCATGCCATTACGGTATACTGCTTTACAAGAACCCACGAAAATATTTCAGGTGAGCTTTACAGAAAATATGTAATAAGAAATCAGCAAATATTGAGAAAGTTTCGGTTCGGTATTGTTTGAACTGGCTTCAGGTAAAGGACATATACAGAAGAGTGAATAATGCCCGCAGAAAGTTTCCACATCACCAACATCTCTATACGTTATACACATGTAAAACGATACTTATAGACATTTTTTGTATTCTACTTTTCTTTTTGATTTAAGGACAGTATAGAAAATGATATAGACAACTCATAATACCATTTTATGTCGCGATTTGTCTGCATTACTTTAAGAATTCATGTAACACTAGAAATAAGGCCTATATTTAAACAGTGTAAATTTCGTAGCAGTATATGTAGGCGTGTTATTATCATTATCATCATTATTACAGCCTATCCAAAGGCTAGTAGTCTTAATTTGAATCATCCTAATTTAAACCAATTTTTGTACAAATTTCACAGACATTATTCAGTGAGCAATTCTCGCATATGTTTATACATGTAACTTGTTACTCGAAAACCTTTTTTTTTGTCAACGATTTGGTTGACATTTTATTATTAAATAATGTTTTACTTTTAAAGTTAATCTAGATAGTTGTCTTCCATCCCGGAACAAAGCAATTCGAACAAAGGTCGGCCGCCTAGCTACTTAAACTAAAAGGAGATTGCCAAAAACACTTAAATAAACAAAGACAATGTGACGTGTGTCAAAACTAACGCCATTATTACTTCCTTTTCTTTCGAAGTAGATTTTTGTCGCGTTACGTATTTTATTATAGAATAAGGGTGACAGTCGAGCACACAGTCTACCTTATGGCAAATTATTCTGTGCTTATGGTAAGTGGATGGTGAGGCCCATGGACATTTGCCTCTATATATAATCTATCCTCGATTAAGAATCAAAATGCAGAAGCGTCGTCATTTTTGAGGACTAAAATAGAATGTCTCGTTACCAGTAAAACAGGTCCCCGGCTATACACTGATCATACGAAACTCAGCAGCATTGAGCTGCTATTTCACGATGATTTTCTATGAGAGCATGGTGCTACCCCTGTCAAGCCGACCCATAGTATTGCAACCATAATAAAGCTGCAAAGTGGCTCTACTACTTAAAATTTTCATTCCATCTCCACCTTCATCAGCATTCCATTAGTTCTTAGAGGGTGACAACACTTCGTTTTGAATTTTCATCAAGAATTTATACGTTAACTATTTACTGATATTGAGGCATTTCATCTTCGTTTTAGGGGGTGACAACGCATCCGCATTTTAATCTTGAATGATCTATGGGCTACTGTATCCACTTATCATTAGGTGGATTGTGTACTTGTTTGTCACCCTTATTTTTTTTTAAAAGTTAAAAAATCGAAAATGTTAACAAGCAAAACTTAAAGAAATTCTCCATTCTTGCTGAAGAAGCAGAGCGATATCTATGATATAGAATATTACAGACAGTAAAGCCACCATATATATGTATATGTGCACTAGAAATATTTTTTGATAGACAACAGTAACATAAAAGCTTTTACAATCGAGTACCTATTAACTTTTCTGTTGCAGGTTCAAACGACCGCGTGCTCAGCGCAGGCACCGGCCAGCGTTAAATTGGCCACTAGAACTCCAGCTATCGGGCCGAGGGTACTACTGAAACCTATTAATTTACCTCGTTTACGTTTCTTCATAAAATTGCTAAGTTTTTAAGATGTAAAACAAAACATTTATCTTATTGGTATCCTGCATTAAAGCTTCCAATGGGTTGTGAAATTTTTGTAACTTCGGGGTTTACAAAATCGAATACCTACATATGCGTTCTGAAGTTCTTTATTATTCATTTAATTATTCATTCATTCACTCATTACAGCCAATCTAAATCCACTGCTGAACATTGGCGACCCTCATAAGGCAGATATTTGCGCGATATTGGCAGATGTTGCCACGCTTGACAAGCGGATTGGCAACTTCAGCTTTTTATTATTTTTAGCTATATAAGATGCTGATGCCCACTTACTGTACCATTTGCCTGTGTCTCATATGGGGTAGTGCGCCGCGACATGACAAAACCTAATTAAATTTTATACATGAGTTTTCTCTAACCTCTTCGTGATTTAAAATAAAACAAATATATGCAGCAATAATACGATCCTTTTATCTTGACTTGATTTATGATATACTTATCTGAGGGTCGCACCCTCAGCTAAGTATATCATAAATCAAGTAGATTTGTACATAAAAATGCGATTTTTGAAATGGCTTTAAATATTAAAGAAAAAAAAACTAATTCTACTTTAAATCTAGTTTAATTTTAATTTATTCAAAATTCAAGACGTTTCGGGTGTTTTGCAGCGTCCGTCATCGAAAATAATTTCTGAAAATTATGTGTAGTATAACGTAATAATAAAACGTAAATCATATTGACGCAAGTAATAAAAAGTAAGAAATCATTGTGACTGTAAGTACTTTTAAGCGTTTACAAGTTCGTAAAACAAAATGTAACGCAGCTGTTTTCCATTTCGGCCCATAAAAGTCCACTGCTGAACATAGGTATCGCCCATAGATTTAATAGAAGCAGCTGTTTAATAAAAATAAAATACATTTTTCAATTCCCACTAAAACGTTTTACAGTTTGCTGAGGATACTTTAGTAGCAGTTTTTAACTATAGCGCCGTCCCGGTTTGAGACTCAGGTGATAACAGCAAAGTGAATTATTTACTTTCTCTACAACGTAATGAAACGTTGATTTAACTGAAAAAAGCAACTTCACAGCAAATACTTCACTATATAGTGCCGGTGCGGCATCCAGGACTAAATTGGCAAGTCGTCTCTCGTTACAAGTGCCTTTTGAGCGTCAAACGTTAAAATATTTTTTAAATTCATTCCATAAAAGTTCATTTTTAATGGAATGCAACAAGTTTTTATAATCATGTCAATTTTTAAAATATACTTAAAACCGAAAGAACGGTAGAAACGCAGTTTCATTGCTTTTCGGCAATTTTTTTTAAATAATAAAACCATTTTACATTTAAAATAATTGAATACATTCATATAACGTTATTATAATAATATTAGTATATTGATACACTGTGTAATCTTAGATAATTATCACTCGAGAAACATTAAAATATAATAGTACCTAATAGTACCTACTTAATTTAATCATAGTATTTTACGATAATTAATTACGCAATATTATACGTTATAATTACTTTTATTTTAGTTTTTCTTTATTATTAGGTATAAAAGCTT